CTCACACACACACACATCCCCTCACACACACACACCCTCACACACACACACATCCCCTCACACACACACACCCTCACACACACAGGTTCATCTCTGTGCAACTGGTGACAAATATAACACGGATTCAGAGGATTCATGCAGTTATGAGACGTTTGTCCCTGCATGTCTTCATGGTCCATCTGATTAGTGAAAGTAGGACGTTCTGGTCAGAAGGAGCCATTTTGCTCCAAACAAACACCCAGAATGCCCTGCGCTGCAGTCCACTTCCTGCTTTTGGTGTTCACATCTGAATTCAAACTGAACCTGAGGTCACTTTAACCGAACTGAGGTTAAATCCACCTGCAGTCGGATTAAACAGATTAAATGATGCGGCTCTGGAAATAAAACACTTAAGATCACGTACATTTTTTACTCAGATATTATTAAAAACTTTCTAGGATTTAGAAATAAAAACTTCTTGGTTGAATTTGGATAATAATTTTTGGGATTAACATTTGAAAGCATTTGATTGATTCAGTGAAAGAATCTGAAGTCAAGACATAAAAACACTTGGATCAGATTTCAGATGCTGTTTCTCTAATGTGGTTAAAAACAGGCACCAGATTTTTCATTTCAGCCATTAAATGAACTTTGTTACATTTTGATTGGTTGGTTGGTTTAAATTCATTGTTTTCATAGAATATACTTCACTAAATTTAAATATTCAAATCTTATTTATTGCTGTGAAACACAAGGAACTAAAGTTTGAGTAGTAAAAGTTTCCTCTAAGTTGGTTTTCATTAGATTGGCTCTATAACTGATTTAAATCATGACTAAACTGTAAAAAGTTGATTCTTTGTGAAACAAAGCAAACACTGAAGTTTCTACCACCCAGATTCCTTTTAAAACACGGAGACTGAAATCAATCAGCAGCTGTTTGCACTGCAGAGCGTCTTCATGAACAGCATAATGCTAACAGAGTCCATGGAGGGAACATATTTGTGTCTGAGCGTTCGCTGCCTTTCCCTCCAACACAAACATCAAACTGCATGCATGGTTTCAAATCAGAAGAGTTGCAGCTGTTGCGACACGATGGCGGTGTAATTCGCTGTGACTGTGTTAAAACATGCCTTATCTTGCTCTTTATCTGGGAATCCTGCAGCTACACGAATCACTAGCAAATATTTAGCAAACAGCCGCGTTCAGATTAAAAGCCAGATTGAATCTTTAGTTCGGGTTACAGACGGTGAGGTCAGAGTTCAGCTTCAGAAAAGGAAAATCGACTCATTTAGTGGAGCTTCCTTCAGCGCTTCGATCAAAACATTACAGCCGACAGCTCGTTTTAGAAGCAATAATAACAATAATAACAATAATAAGTGTAGCAGCAAATGTTCTTTGTGTCCCTGAAAAGATTTGATTGATTTTGTAAATGTGGGCAGGAGGGATGGTTGACCTCTCATGACCTCTGGAAACATTCATTAATATCTTTAAACTGGCAGATAAAAGTCTGACACCAGCTGAATAAACTTCATGCTGCTGTGGTTTCAGTCCAGCTGGAGGAGTGAAGCTGGTACTTACAGGCGGGAGTCGTGCAGTCTCTGGTGTGGTTGTAGAGTCGGTGGAACTGTTTCCGGCACTGAGGTTTGAAGTACAGAGGACCTGAGGGAACACAAAGGCTGTAACCTCTGACCTCTGGCAGCGACTGCACTTTAACCCACAACAAGCACAAAGAGCAGCTGCTGCACGTCATAAATAGATAACAGATCTGACAGAATATTCAATATGTGGGATATTCACTGAACTGGAATCCAGAACCGCACGGCATTCTGGGAGATGTAGAGAAAGGCTTTAGCTCTCATGATGAACTGAAGGTGAGCGGCACCAACTAACTAACTCGCTCACTGGTTACCCAGCAACAACCTGCTGAGTACCCGACGCAGCAGCAGTTTCAGTTTTCTGATTGAACTAAAAGTTAACAGTGTGGAGCGAAAACTGGATAAAACAGGAAATGTTCCACCAGCTTGGCAGCATTTCAGATATTTAAAACAAAAAACGAATCAATGATTATCAATAATGTTTGGGGCGCTGCGCTGGAGCAGCCGTGGAGACAAGAGAAGCAGCTTCATGGGCGCCTGAGGCGAAGCGAGGCGAAGCGAAGCGTCTGATCAGACGCAGCGCGTGACGGAGGGAGGGATGAGGCCGAGAGAAACGCTGCTTATATTTACTAATTAAAGAAATGACTGAGTATTATTAGTCTGCAGCCATAAAATACTGCAGCAGGCTGAGGCATAAAGTAACGTGTTTGGGTTGAGGCAGCAGAAGTTTCATCCCAAATCACTTCCTGTTTCAGAGAGTAAAACTCATCGTCTCTAAAACAGTTTTGCTAGGCAACCATCGTACCTGTCAGGACTGTGATGAACTTCTCCTTGTGCTTCGGATCGCTGAGGCGACCGTCTGAGAAACAAACAGGAATTAGTTTGGCGTTTTGAACACATTAATCTGACAGAGTTCAGGAAGTCCAACCAGCTGCTGAGTCAGCAGTATCAAATAAAACCTTCGTTCTGAAATGAAGAGCTCAGCGGGTCGGGTCGGGTCGGCCCGCCGGGTCGGGTCGGCCCAGCGGCTCCACGACCTGCACCGGGTCACGACCCCGAGCTGCTGAACGAGCCGAGCGGCGATCAGCACCCTGGACAGAGGCGGCGGCCGTCACACCCTGAACCCAGCTGTTCACCACAGCCGATAATCAATACATGATCATTACTGATTAAAACCAATAAAGAGCTGAAGTAAAGTTGATCTTCATGTGTTTGTAGAATGTAGATATAGATGTGTTCACACTTTGGAAAAAAACAGAACAAGAATCAAATCTCCTCTCTGAGACGGAAGGAAACTGGTTTGAATGTAGTAGCGCCCCCTGCTGGGGAAACGGAATATAAGGAGGAAAACATTTGTATAAACTGTTAATTGTCTGTAATTAATTAATTACAATTAATTACATTTTGATCTAAAACTATCTCGACAAATTAGCAATATTTTAATTCAGAAACCATTTTTGATGCTAAATTATGAAATAAATAAACATTTGAGTTAAACAAAAATGAATATTTATTGTTTTAAATTTTTATTTAGATTCTTCAATCATCAGAAATGTAGACGCTGACATATAGCGCTAGCATCATGTTTAGCATTGAGATGCTTTTTTAGCCTTTGGCTTAGCTGATGAGCTAACTCCTTTTAGCACAACTTGAACACAACAACAGTCTTTTCCATCGTCCAATCAGATTTTTATTTGAAGAAATAAAAATTCATCTTCACTGGGCTGAAAAATAAACCTTTGATGTTGTTAGATGTTGTAGATTGTGTCACATTTAGAGGCGTACCAGAAACACGCAAATACAAAGGTTCCGGGCGGAACTTTGTAGTTCATTAATCCAAGTTAAAAAGTTCGAGTCCCTAAAGTTTCACTGCCTGGTTTGGACTCACCAATAAAAACTTTCTAGGTTTGCTGCTGTTGGACTGTTTATGACAACAACTTGAGCATATGACGTCACTGTCGGCAGTGACCTCAGCATCGGGTCAGCAGAGCAGCTCTGCTCAAATGTGCAAACTTTGATGGTCAGAAGAGACAAAGGCTGAAGCACGGTGGTGGCAGCATGATGCATGATGGGCGAAGAAAAGAGTGAAATGGAGAGAAACTAAAGTTTTTATCTGCTGATTTATTGTTCTGGTTCCGACCAGAGACCCGGCGCTGTCTGGACTCACCGTGGTTCGACCGGCTCGGCCGTTTCGTACCCGCCGCTTCGTGCCCGCTGAAGCCCACCGGGCCCCTCCGGTACCGGCCGACCAGCTGCGCCAGGCTGTGGCGGCCCCTGCGCGCCTCCGGCCCCCGGTGCCGCGCGGCCGCGTGGCAGCGTCCCGGCGTCTGCAGGAGGATGAAGAGGAGGAGGAGGAGGAGGAGGAGGAGCGCGGACCGGACGGAGGTCCGCGGCAGCAGCATCACTGGACCTGCAGGACCAGACGAAGTTCATGTTTGACATTTGGGATGAGAAAGTTTCATGATGAGTTGTAGCGTGGCGCGGGGCTCCCCGCAGCCTCCCGCAGCCTCCCGCAGCTGGTTACCTTTCCTCTGCGGCTCCCCGCGGCTCGCTGCGCCTCCTCTCCCCGCCGCTCCGCGCTCTGCGCCCGGACTCTCCCTCTGCGTCTCTCGGGACCCGAACTGTCCGCTCCCTGCCGTGTCTGTGTCTCGTTACCCCGGGTTGGTGTGGATCCGCGCTCCGAGTCCTGGTGTCATCTTAGAGCTGCGCGCGGGGCCGCCGGGGCGCGTGGAGCGGCTCCTTCATCATCCTCATCAGCAGGACAGAGAGCCGGTTCTGCAGGCTGCAGCTGGAGCGGGTCCGGTTCGGCTCATGCCTCTGAGCAGCAGCGGGAGAATGGACCCGAACCAACCTGAACCGACCCGAAGCTCGTGCTGATCAAGTGCCGGTCCGAATCTGAACCCTCTGTGGAAACGGACCGGACTGCTCTGCTCTGCACGCGCAGCTCAACTCCAGCAGATCACGGAAATGAGGAAGAGGAGGAGGAGGCGCGTGCGTGCCGGCATGCGCGCGGCGGATGGCAGCGTGACGCACCAACGAAGGAAGTCAAAATACTGACACTCGTCGTTTAGCTCTGGACTTTCACTAGGCCGTTCTAACTCTAGCTGGATGTTCAGGCTGGTTCTCCTGCTGGATGCTGACCTTTGACCCCAGAGTGAGGTTGCTGCAGCTAATGGATCTGGCTCCATCTGTCTCCCACAGCATGATGCTGCCACCACCTGCTGGAGATTCTGACTTTAAAAAGAGAAATTTTATAAGTTTCTGCCAAACAAAAGTTCACATGCAGTCAGAAAATGATGTTTGTTGCTTTTCTTCCTCAGTCATAATAAATTTTCTCTTCTACCATATTCAACCCCTGTAAAACAATTAAAATTTTGTGTTTTTAACAGGATTCAGTATTTATACGACAACGTATTAAAAACAGACATTTTGGGATTAAAAATTTCAAAACAGCAAAATGGAAAAGTTACCGGTCAGTTATTTTTCTCTTATTTGAAGTGAACAAAGATACAAAACAAGACGTTAAAAAACAGTGATTATCTGAAACACTCCATCAGCTTCATAAACATGTCTGCAGGTTCTGCTGATCGGATCCGACCCAGCAGGAATATTGAAGTTCTTTATGTGTTTATCGGTTCCGTTTCTCAGCCATGCGCTCAGATCCAGACCTGCTGCTGCGTTCCCTACATGCCCGGCTCTGGAGCCGCTCCAAGAACTCACAGCAGCCTCCCACTGGAACCACTGGGACCCATTAAAGGTCGTTTTAAAACCAGTTGACCTCTCTGTGTCGTCTGGTCAGACTCCCACACCACAAAACGCTGCAGGCTGATGAGCGTCGGACTCTAGAAAAGACTGGAAGAAATTCAACATCAGCTCAAAACAACAGATTTAACAGAAACGTTTGGAGAGCCCGACTGGAATCATCATTATGTTGCTGCTGATTATCAGGTTGTTTCCAGTCAGATAGAAGAAGCATGAAGCATTTAAATGCAACATGCTTCCAGGTCAGATTCAGGATTAAATGTTTGGTGCTGAGAAAATCCAGAATCCAGCAAGTTTGATTCTCATTTCCCTCCAGGGCTCAGGCTGCAGTTTCTCCCATTGAGATGGATTTCTACCAGAGAATCAGAGAAAAGGAGGAGGGGTTATGAATGATGGTGATGAATTTCTACAATGTTTTAGGATTATATTCTGCCAGAAGTTTTAGCAATGGGAAGAAAAATCCAACTAAATTGGGGTCATTTGTTATAATTTTGAAGAAGATATTAATATCAAAGTTTCCAGAAGTCATCAAAGCAAAAGCAACACAAATATTGTTTTGCTGTGAATTGATGTTCTGGACAAAGTGAAGCCTGATCTGGTTTCTGGCTGGAAGCCTAAAGTACAAATCCTTAAAAACCAGAAGATCAGAACTTTTACAAAGTTTTACTTCACTTGTTTCTTTATTCTGGAAAAATCCCACAATCCCAGCTTTTCTGGGCTTTAAACTCAATGAATTATAATAATAACTTCAACACCATAAACATGAAAATCTGATGAAACGGCTGGAAATCGACACAGAGAGAAAAAAGTCTAAATCCGTCATGAATCTGGAGGATTGAAGAGCCACAAAACTCTACAAAATAAAAAGAGGAAGTAACTGTAACCAGAACCAGAACCAGAACCTCTCTGAAACATTTCCATACTGAACAGGAAGCAGTTTGAAAAGTTACACAGTAAAACATTAACTGATAACTAATCATTTAAAACTTATTTAGCAGTTCATATATTTTTAAAACTCAACATTTATCTGGTGACATTTGGTGAAAATATGTTTTTTTTTCTCTGACAGAATAAATAAGCCAAATTATTGGTGTTCATGTTTCACTGTGTCACTTTCCACATGGCGTCTCTGTTTGCTGCGGCGATGACCAGGTGAGCAGAGACGATCCTGAGCTTCACAGGAGAAGAGAGCAGCGGCTGGCGGGCCGCGGCGGGCGGCGAAGTCTCGCTGCGATGATTGAGATGACTGAGAGCGTTGCGTTCTGCCAGCCGCTCTGCGTGCTAACGCTCCTCCACTGTCAACAACATGTCACCGGGACAACGGGAAAACACACACAGACGCACTCACGAGATTTTTCTCCTGATTCTTCTCCACACATGCGATGAGAACAGCTGCAGGAGTTTGAGACGTGTGATGGTCTGGATCAGAAGGCAGAGGGTTGGGAGCAGAACCGGACCTGTTGGAACCGGACCTGAACCGGACCTGAACCGGACCTGTTGGAACCGGACCTGAACTCCAGAGCTTCACTGAACAAATCAGCACAACGATGGAGAAAAACACAGCACTGATGTTTTTGGCTCATGATTCAGACAATCATAAAGTTGTGCCTCCATAATGACACGCATTAAACATATTAAGTTACAGTTCAGGTCAAAGGTCAGCCGGGCCGTGGTAAACTATGTGTTCAGGCTCCAGAGACGCCAGTAAATCTTTTTATTCCCTGCAGACCAACATCAGAACCAAACATCCACACAGCTGAATGTTAGCCTTCAGAACCGGATCAGTCCGATCCACTGAGTCAGAACCTTGCAGGTTTTATCTGCAGGCCAAACGTAACGAGACGAAAACCGTTTCCTGTGGGATTCTCCCTCCAGGACCCACTGAGTCTTCATGGCATGAATGCTGAGATTTGTCTGAATCTGCAGGCAGAGAGACAAACAAACTCCACTTGTTCTTCACAGAGATCAGCGGAAACATCTGCAGGAGTTAACCAGCGGCACCGTTCTGCACTCCCAAATCGCTCAGGGTCAGGGGTCAAACTGGGACATGCTTCAAAATTCTCTCTAATTCCTGCAAAACCTGAACCTTCAGAACATTTTAAAACCCAAAACCTCTGAAGGTTTTTACCTCTAATGACTGGAAAATAGAAGCTCCTGGGTTGAACTGCAACCATCTGAAGTCCGTCCATCATCATCATCATCATCATCATTGTCTGCTGGTCCAGGCCCGGTCTGCTCAGGTACCAGGTCCAAAAGCATCTCTGCAGCTCCCTTTGGGCTCCCCAGACCTGCACAAACAGTTTCAGTTCATCATGTTGCATTTTCCATTTTTCTATGCAGAAATCCCAAACAGGAACCTTTGCATTTACCTGTTTCTGCTCTGCCTGTAAATCTGATGCACAAGCTACATCCGCTAACAGCGATGGAGGATGAAGCTGCTTCTCTTGGCCCTCTGGGAGTTCATTTATTCCTCAAAACGACCTGATTGGTCACCAGAAAAGACTGTTGTTGTGTTCAGGTTGTGCTAAAAGGAGTTAGCAATAAATCTATTCAACCCTAAAATAGCGTCTCAATGTTAAACATGTTGCTAATGCTAAAGTTAGCATCTACAGAAGCGCCATGAGAGATCAGAACTTCCTGAAACTCTGGAAAGATTAAATTTGCTCCAATCTGAAGAACAATTAAAAACAATAAATATATTTTAAATTCCTGACAAAAGTTGCATCAAAATGGGTTTTTGAATTGAAATATTTCTTATTTTGTCAAACGTTTTAGATTAAAATGTGATTAATAACACTGTAATTCACTCGACTAGATTCTTTTCCCTGCAGATGCAATCACAACATACAAGACAGCAAACAGCATAAAAACAGAGAAATACTCTAAACCTGGAGCTTGTCTGGTAAAAACAGGGAAACTGTTCATGTTGTATTTTTGTTGTTGCCAAAATCCTTTTTGTGTATGAAAAATGATGCACAACTTTCTAACTCTGGTCTTCCAGAGACGCTGTGGAGAAATAAAACAGAAAAACTTCTGAACTCAAACAGTCTGAAGCTTCACTGAAACGTTTCAGAAGCTTCTGGACGTCAAACACCGACGACCAAAACACTTCAGACTGTTTGGACCAGATTGGCTGTTTGGATCAAACTCAACTCTAATAGTTGAACCTTCAGTCTGCAGGCTCAAGGTCTCCACTTAGTGGCCAAACAAAGAACTGCATCCTTCAGAGTAAAGACTCAAACAAACTAAAAATGGATTACTGCTGAAAAGTATCGAAAAGATCAACAAGATAAAGTGAATCTTCTTTAAATGGAACAAAATTGGTGTTTATGCTGCTGCCATTTTAAAGAAATAAATTAAAGTTTCCAGAGGTCGTCAGTCAGATCTTCCAAACAAAAGCAGCACAAATGAACCTTTTAGCTGCCAAATGAGGCTGAGTTGATTGTTTGACCTTTTATGACCTCTGGGAACATTTATTAATATTAATAAAATTATAACTGCATAAGATTTTGCCGCCAATTCTGTGAGATTTGACAGAAACAGAGAAATAAATGAACACTCACCTTTAAAACCAGAAACAAAGATCAGAAGTGATCTGATTGGTCCAGCTGCCATGCAGGTCGTCTGATGGCGGTTCTAGATGCTCCAGCTCTATGACTCTACTTCCAGCTCTGGTCTGCACCAATCACAGCCTTCCTTCAGGATGCAGAACCATCATTAGCAATAAAACCACAAAACACAGACAGAAACTGAAAGCCAGCAGTTTGAATCAGTGCAGAAAGGATGGAAACAGAAAAACATCATGATTGAAAAGAGCTGATGAGACGAATCCAGAGTTTTCTCTTTATTGCTTCAGTAATATGTCTTCTTACATATAAGCTCTTCTTTCTAAACACATCAGTTCCCATCATTTGACGTCACAGTGCTTCTTCCTTTCTAAACTGTTTTTACATTTATTACATCCGACCTGCTTTTACATTCACACTGAGGAAACAAACGGATCCACAGACTGAACAGCAAACATCCAATAAATGTCTTTTTTCCACTTCCTCTAGTTCTGGGAGTCAAACAGACTCTTACTTATTGAGATGCTACAAATAGGAAATCAGGTAAAAACATGAAAAGATAAGAAATAGAGCCAATTAGGGTTATTTACAGAAAACAAATATCATTTCAGTCGCCTTGACAAAAGAGGAAAACAGGTTCAGAAATATTTCAACCTGCAAAAAACCCAAATAAAACCAGAAACACTTAAACTGCAGCATCTCACTTAAAAAGACTTTTCTCCTAATCCAAACTAAGTTCCAGTCAAATCTTCAGTGTTACTGTTAGAAACATGACGATGTATAAAAAGTCTGAAACATTCATAGTAAATATGATTTATGAAAACTTTACAGTCACAGATAATAGATTTCTACCAGACTGCAGGTTATTAAATATGGGTATTTAAAGATTGTTGTTGACTTTGTGCTGCTTTCTGCTTTTATACTGTAAAAAAGAAAAGTTCAGCAGTAATGATCTGTTGCCTCATGTATGAACTGTACATCTGGAGATGAAACTGGATTTAAAGTGTGACATCATCACAAGATAAGATAAACATCCAGAAGTAAAATCTGAAAAAAGTCAAACTAACTTCAGTGGAAACTGAAAACGATGTTAAAAAGTGAATCAGGCAGATAAAGTCCAAGGTTTAAACAGAGTCTGAGGAGAACTGGGTTCCCTCCACTAAAGCAGCAAAGTTACATGAGCAACATGTAGAGTTTAGCTTTGAGTGCATTCAGGAAAACAGTCGCTGCCCTGCGAGTTACCAACACTCTACTGGTAAGTTTTCAAATATAACTAAGTTATTAGTCATAATTACAAACAACCTTAAGGAGAAAAAAAGAATCAGAATCAGGAAACAAAATGTTCCAGAAAGAGCAAAACAATGAATGAGAGTAAAGAAATGAAACTGAACTTTCACAAAGTCGATGCAGGTTGACGCTACGCATGGCTGCAAGAAACAGGAAGTGGAGATTTGTAGCTAGCATGGACTATAAAATGTCTCTGGTTTGGTGCCTCTGGTAAGGCACAGACCCACCAATGGATTGCAGATTTTTACTGTTTCCATCAACAGTTTTTGATGCAACACTTTAAAAACTGTTGATGGAAACATGGCTCATGAGTTTGGGTTCTGGAGGAATCCAGTCCACGGTCATGATTGGACCCGCTGGAACCAGGCTTATGTGAGATCCAATCAGCGAAGCCGACGTCCGTCCATGTAGATCCATGCGCTTCAGATCTGCTTCCGTCTGTAAACGTGTCGGTTAAGAAGCCTCAACTAAGCTCAGGTTGGATTCGCTTCCAACGAAAATCTCCCCATCTTCCTCCTCTTCTTCCCCTTCCAAGATGGCGGCCATGGGGGCGGCAAAGAGGCGGCAGCGTCCGGCGAACCGTCGGCTGCTGGAGCAGGGGGGAGTGAGGGAGCGAGGCCGCATGTGAGAGGAGGAGAAGACGAGGACGGGCGAGGAAGAGGAGAGCAGCATCAGATCCCGGCGTCTCCAGCCAAACATCATGGAGAACGCACAGGGAGATGGAGGAGGGGCGTTCACAGTCAGAAAGCTGCTGGACCTCCCATCATCCAACGGGTCAGAGGTCAGGGGAGGAGGAGGCGTCTTCTGAGGGTCAGCAGGAGGCGGAAACCGACCGACACAAAGGCGCTCCACCGCTGAGATCCTGGAAGACGCCTCGATTCGACTGCCCTTCCTCAGCAGGAGAGCCTTGAAACTCTCGCTTCTGGCCGACCTGGGGTTCCTGAACCCGGCTGCCCGGGTCAGGCAGGGGTCAGAGGGACTCTCCAGAGGGGAAGGGGAGGACAGGGGGACTCCTCCAAAGTCTCTTCTTCCAAGCATCTTTCGCTTCGATCTGAGGAAATCAGACAAGAAGCCACAGTTAGAGTCTTGGTTCTGGTCAGTTTGAGAAGGTTTTCACAGCTGCAACTGGATCAAACACCAAATCACATCAAGTTTAACCTGATTCAGCCAACCAGATCTAAAGGGACAGGTCTGAGGGAGGACAGCTGTTGACACTAACTGGAGGGTAAAGGTCAGAGGGAATGAAGGCAGCAAGGATACGAGAAAGGAGACACATGGCCCTGCGAGGAGGGAGGTGATAGATGCACATATTCAGGTAATAAGGGTTGATTTCACTTTACAGTGCTGAGCTACAGGAATCAGGACTTGGAACCGTCTACATATTTAGGGCCCAGTTTGAAGGTTTACCTGCAACCTGATTACCGACACGCGGTTCATGCGGTTCCTTCCCATACTGCACTGCTCCAGAGGCAGAGGGAGGGATCAAGCAGATGTGAGGATGTGGATTGTCGGTCGTTTTAAGAGCAGAACTCAGTTTCAGCTGAAGCTACCTGTGGATGATGGTGAACAGATCCTCTGTAGTTCGAGGACGACTGGAGACCAACATCTGATCCGCCGAAACGTTGACGAACACATCGTCTGAAAAACAAATGATTCCCTTTTATCAAGAATAAACTTGACAGAACAAGCATTGCCTCGTCGTCACTGTAACAAAACGTCTGCAGCTCACCATCTGAAGACCTGCTGGCCTCCTGGGCCTCATCATCTCTCTGCTGGGACTCTTCCTTCCCCGGTTCCTCCTCCTCTTCATCCGGCTCTTTGATCAGGAGGTCGGGCAGCGACAGCGCCCCCTGCAGGCTCTCAGTTGACAGCAAACTGCTGAGGGAAATCCTGCTGTGACCAATCAGAGAGTACGAGCTTTCAGAGTCACTCGTCTCTTGGCTGCACACTTTGAATTTCCTTCGCCTGTCGGTTCTTTCTTTCATCACATTTGGCTCATCTTCTGATGATGAGGAAGATGAAGAAGAGGAGGATGATGACGATGAAGGAGAGGGCTCCATTTTTGGGGAGATCATCAACAGCTGTCGGCCCGGCCGCCTCTTCCTCACCCTCCTGGATTTACCTCTTTTGTTGGATGACATCATCATCCTCATCATCATCACTGTTTTCTTCCTCTGCTGCTCTTCCAGTCGACCTTCCTCCTCCTCATCTTCATCTTCAGCAAGCGAGGACTTCATGAACCTCCTGCGGTTGGTCGTCTCCTCATCCTGCTGCCTCGTCCCAGTTTGACCTGCTTCTGTCCAGGTAGACGTGGTTGTGGGGACCCCTGAGGGACCTGAGGGACCTGAGGGACCTGAGGGACCCGTCCCCGCTACTGGGGACCCTGAGGACTGATGGGTCTCACAGACATCGATCCTTTGTGATGAGCTGCAGGATGTGTGGTGATCATTACTGGTTTCTAAAGCTTCCCTGCTTCCTGAAGTTCCTCTGAGTTTCTCTCCAGTGTGTTTGGATGCAAAAGCTGGTTTTGCCGTTTTGGGAGATTTAAATGAAGGATCTGGCTTCTTCTGCCTTCGAGGAGAACTGGCAGGTGAGTTTCTTGAGTTCCTGGAGCATCCTGGTATTTCTGAATTGTCTGTGAAGTGCTCTGGCATGTTGCTGGTTGAACATGTGAGGGACCGTGTGTGGAAGGAAGCGTGACGTCTTGGGGACGACTCTGTGAGACGCCCAGGACTATTGGGCCCTGCCGGTCCTCTTCCAGGCTTTGGGGATGTTAAGGGACCCAGAATGCCCAGATCAGGCTTCTTAGGGAGAACAGGTTTCTCTGGGCTCTTATTTTGTTTTTCTGATTTATTCTTTTTATTTCTTTCATATTCATTTTTCTGTTCTGTCGTCGTTTCTCTCAGACATTTTATATGATTTGCTAAGTTTGCTCCTGAGGAAGACTGCTCTACTGGAGGACTCTGGATATGATTATTCATGCAATATGTGTCATCATCATCATCATCATCATCAGGACTGGAGACATGTCCACTGGCCACAGGGACATGTTGTGGGTCGTCGTGGTTTTTCTGGATAACTTTTCTTTGTTGTCTTTGAATCTTTGCTTCGCCCGACTCTGCGGTGGAATTCCCACTCTCACTTTTTATCGGGTCTTTGCAGTAAAGTTCTGACTGTTTTAGTTCAGTATTGACTATTAATGGATTTGTGTTACAAGTCGCCTGTTTTGCTCCAGGAGTAGAAACCTCAGCATCAGCATTGGACTCATTTAATCCATCACCGTCCTCCTGAGTCTCTTCCCTTCGGTCAGTCAGTGACAGACGTTGTCCGTCAGTCGGGTCATGTTGGGTTTGCAGTGCCGTCGGGTTTTTGACCGAGCGGAGCTTGACGCGCTGCAGAGCCTGAGCGGTGATCAGATGAGAGTGGGTCCTTGGAGATGCGCCTGGACTTGATGGGAGAAAAGAAAAGGAGGGTGGAGGGAGAACAGGTGACGGAGGAGACAGAGGAGGAGAGTCAGATAATTCAAAAGATGGTGGAGAAGGTTGGCAGAGTGGCGAAGGATCAAAGTGGGATGATGCCGTCGAGACCAGAGAGTGATGCGACGTCTGCCTCACAGCATAGGAGTAAGGAGGAGGAGGAGGCCGGGTCGGGACAGGAGGAGGAGGAGGAGGAGGAAGAGGAGGAGGAAGAGGAGGAGCTGGGAGACCATCAGGAAGTGGAGGAGGCTGAATAAGAGACGGAGGAACATGGAGGCAAAATTCAGGCTTTGAAGGAATTGAAGGTGGTGAAGAAGGAGAAGAAGAGGAAGAGGAAGAGGAAGACTGTAGAGGAGGTGGAGCTGGAGATCCGGGGAGGCAGAACCCAGGGATTTTAGGAGAAGAGCGTGGAAGAGGAGGAGGAGGAGGAGGTGGAGGAGGAGGAGGAAGGTGAGGAGTTGGAGAGCAGAGCTTGGAAACAGGGGGAGTGGACTGTGGGAGTGGAGGAGGAGGAGGAGGAGGAGGAGGAGGAGGAAGAGGAGGTGGAGCAGGTATTCTAGTGAGAAGCGATTGCCTGGTTAAGGAGTCAGATGAGGTGCAGGAGGAGAGAGAGGAGGTGGAGGAAAAGGAGGAGGAGAGAAGCGATGACTTCCTCTGTGGCACTGGAGGCTTTGGCTTCCTGTTTCCTGCAGACCTGGTCCTGGGGAGGGAGGAGGCTGTGGGGGAAAACGCTGAGCTTGAAGAGCATGAAGTAGAGAAAGGGGAGGCTGGAGGAAGGGAAAATGCTCCTGGGCTGGCAGAGAGAGGAGAGGAAGGATTGTGGGGTGAAGAGACTGGCGTTCCAGGACTGGGGGTGTTAGACTGGCTGGAGTATCCACTGGATGGAGAGGCAAG